CGTAAATCATAACTAACTCCTCCAAATCCCAATAAAATTTTCCATGCCAAGGCTATTATTCATGGTGCTATTACCAACTTAATAAATAATTCGTGTTAACTCAAACCAGAATTACTATAAATCTAAATAAATAACTTAAAATCAAGTTAAATTAAAAGATTTGTCCCACAAGAAAACAAATCTATTTGACCATTTTTCTATTATTTTGCTTTGTACTTCAAAATCCCGGCGCCACTACACAATAGGTAAGAGTATAACATCAAATCTGCCACATCCCTTGATTTTTGGCGAAAATAACGCAATCCAACATTGTTCAACACCCGCTTCCCGTTTGCCCACCTTGGCAGAGCGACAGCCACCAACAACCACCATTGCAACTCGTATTCCAGCCAACAGGGTTGCAAAGGGATTTAGGATAACCCTTTTGACCTTTTTTGGTATATAGGTTTGAAAATAGTGATTAACAATTTTACTTAAATTATTAAGGATATATGTTTGATAAATTTATACATTTAGAAATTACTACAAATAAGATATTTGATAAAATTTTTATTTAGCTCTTTGAGATTAATAGATAGTGATTATGATCTATACTGTTAGTGCATTGAAAAATCTACTTTAAATAGCTTTTAGTATCATGCTAGCAAATTGGAGTTTTTTAATTTTATTAATAAATTTGTCCATTTTAATTTTTTAATTTTTGACTATGGTTTTTAAATAATAGTTATTTAATTAGTATCAATAACATTAAGTGATTATTATATTTTTATTTTTATATTAATTTTTATCATAAAAAATATATTAGCTTAATAACAAAATTTGCTAATTAGATGAAAAGATTCAATATTAGTTTTTTTAAATAATATAATTTCTTTTTTATTAAAAATAAAAATAGGTATTTATTTATTTTTTATTATATTTTATAAAATTAATAATTTAATAATAAAAAATATAAAAATATACTTAATTATTTTTAAATATGTTTTTACTAATCATTTAATATTGAACAATAATCATTAACTATTGTATAATCAAATAATTACAAACAATTATAATCTACTTTTAAGTATCTATCACTTACTATTTACTGCTTACTATCAATATCCACTACAAGCTACTCATCATCAACTGAATTTTAATTGCTATATTAAATAAGCCTTTGTCATTTTTTTCCTAAAATTTTGGTTTTATGGTCTTTAACTTTTTGAAATTTGGGATAGGGTCCGTATCAAGCAGTGCTCAGCCACCACACCATCGCAAAGTAACTTACCATTCCCACCAGCAGTCCCTCATCCTTGCCACCCTGCACGAACTCCTCCATTGTCAGCCTGTAGAGTTGCTGCCAATAGAGAATATGCCCTGCAACCTCCCAAAATTCAAGCCCTCCCTTCCACCAAACGTCGCCGTTAAACCCCCCCGAATCAAAGCCTGGCCGTCCATCGCTGGAAGCGCAGTCTGCTCCTCATCGCCACAATCAGATACACCACCCCTCCCCCTTGATGATTATATCGAGTTTGTCTCCACTTCCATCTCGCTAATTCCGTACCAACTACTATCGTGTCACCCAACTTTATTGCCATTTAATTATGCCAATAGAATATGACCCTACGTTTTCGATTCTCGTGCTTAGATTATTAAATCACCACCTCATTCCGGCCTGTTGACTACCTCTAGTGTGATTCCCCTAGCCCTTTCTCGTACTACAACATCACAATTAAGCTTCATTCTCCGATTCTCCTCTCGATCGGGAGTGTCCAAGATTCCATAGTAGTGCTCATTTGCTCTAAGATAGGATCCTTTGCCTTGCCACCCTGTATTCCTTAAGGTATTTAAGGGTCGCACTCACTGAACAACCAAGCATGTAGCACTTCTGCTCAAAGTGGCAAAGATTCTTATTTCTCCAAGTAAACCACATAAGGCATGCAAGATCTGTTACTTCTTCTCTCCCAATCTATAATAGGATGTCTAGCCAAACTTTTTAAGTATTGCCTTGGCCTAACTGCCTCTATTACTAGTGAAAATTTTCAGCATTCTTTCATCCAGTGGCATTCCAAGAAGTATAAACCTCATTTTCTACTCCTTGCCCATAGACTATGTCAGCTGTCACCCATCTCGTAATTAAACCCTCCCTTATGGGGAGAACGGTGTTAATGCTCCAAACGACCCATCAAAGAAAATGTAGTATCTTAGCTGTGACTTGCAAATTCCATATTCTATTCTAGAGTAGCTTGAAGACTTCATTTCTTCTAGTATCCTCTGTGGGCAATACAATTTTTCATGCATGTCTGTGGGCTGATCTCCTCACGAACTCCTCAGTGGTGTCTTCCTAAATTAGTCTGTCTTTCTCGATGTTCTTACTAACAGGGTTTTGTAGGATTGCTTGAGCTATCTCTTCTACAAAGAATTCCCTTACTCTTGCTCATTCCATGTACCTGCCTCTTGGTCAATGAAGTGGCTTTCTCGTAATTCCATATCGTCCTGATTATTTGCCAAAAGAAAACCTTCACCAAGGTCCATCGACTTATCTCCCCAAACACAAATTTGTTGTCCATCTCTTAGCCTCCAGAACTTATCTAGTTTCCAGAAGGCTTAGCCGTGTTTACGATGGTAAATACCCCACCACCACTGTCATCAAATCTCCATCCTGAAAGTACATGCACCGTAGAACTCCATAACACAGGGCATCTTGTCTCTGGATTAATCTCCAGTCTTGCTTTGCAGACATATCCGGTTGACAGGTTCTATGTCACTGAATCCGGTCCCTTCCTATCCTTTTCATTTGCATAGTAGGTTCGAATAGAGCTCGTGTATCTTTCCTTCGTCTGTGTTATCTCCTTACCAGGGCCTTACAATTATTCTATTTAAGTCGTCCACCATATTCCTGGGTAACTTGATCCAACTTATGTGATACGTTAGTATGAGTTGGAAAACTGCCATGATAATCAATTCCTTCCCTACCGTTAACAATAACTTATTCTTCCAACCCTATAGTTTTGCCCATACTTTGTCTCTTGTTGTTTTGAATGTCTGTTCTTTATACAATGTATTACTTCAAGTGCTACTAATGAATATCGTGGATCAGTCTTCTGGAAACAAAGCTACTCTGATTGTATGCAACATTGCAGAGACTGATGGGCTTGAAATCCTCCACCTCCTTCGATTATTTGACTTTTAGAATCAGTCACATGCTAGTCTTATTTAGTTCATCTTGCACCCCTTGATGCAAGAAGCTTAGCATTTCCTCCATCACATCTTTTCCTTCCACATACTAGTAACTCTTATAGAATGATTCGTCCAATCCTTCGACCCTAGAGCTTTGTGAGATGAATCTAAAAGATTGTGTGTACGACCTCATCCTTTATGTACCTTGTCTCCAAACCAGCCCTAAACTTATCTAGCAAAACTCACTTCTTTATAACACTCAGTTTATCCAATGTATGCCAATCCCATTGTGTTGTGAACAACTACTCAAAGTAATTGCAAATTACCATCGTGACCTACCTTTCGTTTGTCACACAGTTCCCTTGCTTATTCTTTATTCCTGTTATAGTGTTCTTGACCTTAATTCGAGAAGCCTTATCATGAAAGAATGTTGTATTTCTATCCCCTTCCTTCAACCAGTCAATTCTACTTCTCTATCTCCACATCGTCCTCTTCCTTGCATAGTTCATTATTCTAGTTCTAAAGCTCTACTATCCTTCCACCCTCTTCCTCATCTCTCCTATCTTTCATTTTCTTTAGTTCGGTATGCAGCTTTTCAAGTTGCTTCTAGACATACCTAAAGGATATTCATCGCCAGTCCATCGCTGCATCTCTTTGTCTATTTATCTTGCACACCAATTAACATTGAACCAAAGTTTATTCAGCTCGTTCTTTCCATCCTTCCTTGATCACCATCTTGCAAATCCTCTTGCCTTCTTTACATCTCCTCAAAACGAAACTATCTACTCCTTTTCATATTTGTGCACTTCTCCTATATCATGATGGATAATTGATCAGAAACTGTTGTCAACAACTAAGCTAATAGGAACATCTATTTCCATTCCATAGAAAAAACGTTCTTATCTAGTCTTTGCTTTATTAGAGCTCCATTTGGCCTTCCTAAACCAAATGCAACAGGCCCCCTTGAAGGGCAGCTCCCTAACATCATCAAAAGCTTATCTGAACGTCGTAATTGTCCAAGCCAAGGTTCACAGGATCCATCTCAAGTGATGGATACCATCGGTCGTGATGGTCAGCATGAGTCCACACTTGTGAAAGGTGACTGCTTTAATATCCAACTGAAATGACTCAAGTTAGAGCTTGCCACTTGCCTAATAACTTTTCGAGTCAAAATCAACAGATTTTCAAAAACTCAGTTCAAGTTATTAAATAGTTAGACTCTACACTTATATGTTAGACTTACTCACAATTCCCACTTATGTGGGATTCCTGGCATTGCAATTCATAATTTCATTATAAGCAAACATCCAAGGCAAAGACGATGGAAATTTAAGCCCACTAGTAAATCCCACAGCTCTTCCCCCGTATACGCCCATAAACCTCTACCTCTTCCTTCATTCCTCCACCTCCACATCAATGTGGTTCAAAGAGAGGGATAGGAATTTGACTTTCAAATCATAAAACCACGTTAGAGCTAAGCCCTCTCTCATACCCTTCTGCGTGTAAACATGACGTTCCTTCACATTCTAGCTTTTTTTCTCTTATACCTTCCATCTCATTCGCCGAGCTCTTTGTCTCCAAGAGGAAGATTAACTCTAGTTTTTGCTACCTGATGAAGAGATTCAGCTCGGCCAGTTATGTAGAGAGCACAACATCATCATCGTGGAGCCACATAGGTGAAAGCTTGCTACATGTTGATGAAAACGCCTAGCATTGTTCATTATATCGGTGAAAATCACCTTGGAAATGTCTCCCTCAGTTATTGATATAGTGGCCAAAGTTATATTAGGGAATTCCAAGGAATCACCATGACAACCCACATTGGTGAATTAGCATATTCAACGATGTGGTATACAAGGGAATTCACCAATGTGGTATGTTAAGGAATATAATAACGTTGGAGTTCACATTAAAATTTTCACATTAAATGCCTTTAACTACCACGTCGATAAATAAACTTTCACCAATGTGGGAAGCATCGTTGTATAAAATATTTTGTAGTGAAGGTAATCATTGTTCCCATAAATCACCGATGTGTGCTACGTTTTCATCATGAACAACAACGTGTGTGTTACATCCACATGCGAATGAACAATTTTGTGATATATTATTTTAATATAAATCACTGACATGATTTACCTTGTTTTAATTGTCAGCAATATAAAATAGATAAAAAAATATTTGATTAATTAAAGACAAAAATTAAATTGCGACCAATCACCGATGTGTTACACAAAGGGACATAAATATTCAAGAAAATAAAATAAAGGTAAAATATTCTTCCACCACAATATAAGTCTCATTTAATCTTACAATACACTCAAAAATTCGAACAGCTTTAAAACATAAAAAATCTTTATCTACCAATTGTTTTTCCTTCAAAGAATACAACAATTTCAACTAAAACATTTAAAAAATACTAAAATTCAGCATGTATATACTGAAATTCATCATACCTTACAGAATAATTCATTTGATGGTTTTTAACGCACAAAATAGTTATGCATTTGTTAGTGTCAATGGCAAGGGGAGAAAAAGAAACAAAAGTCCGGCAAAAAAAATTCAAACCTCATATTACAATATTTTTAGGGTATCCACCTACAAAATTATAAATTTAAATGAGTTACTTTATGAACATATCAAAAATTATTATATTTTCTACCAAAAAAAGCAAATTAATGATGATGAAAACTAATATAAAACCGGCAACAAACCTACAAAACAACATAAAAAAATCCAAAAACCAGTATAGCTATATTAAAATTAAGAAAAATTATAATGGAAAACAGTTTAAAAGAGTTATAACTTCTATTTTTAATATAAAAAAGATATATTATTTACAAAAAATAGTGAAAATTGTAAAGCTAATGCGAGTAAAATGAATGAGCAGACCGGAGAAGTGGGAGGGAATAATGAGGAGAAAGAGGAAGAAGAAAGAAAAAAAAAGAAAAACGAAAAAAAAGAGATCGAAGTCTTGGAAGTGTGGTGGATAAGCTGCCAAAGCA